CCTTATGATTTAGATTCTGGAAAACTTTGAAAGGTCATATTTTTTTTTCTATTATAGATAGATAGCTGAAACTTTCACTGAATTTTATCCCAATCAAGGGACTACAATCCCTGAAAATTTCAGCTCATTTGCCCTTATAGTTCCTGAGATAAAATCGTGTTAGGCAATTTGGGGTGATTTATCAATTTTTCAATTTTTCTGAGTGCCTTTTTTCATAGATTTCGGCTTCAAATCTGAGAATAATTTAGTGTATGGAGGTTGGGGTATGATGATTGACCGTTAGAATACAAAATCTCGACAATAAAAATTTGAAATTTTATCGTTTTAGTAAGAAGGTACATACCTACCTTATGATTTAGATTCTGGAAAACTTTGAAAGGTCATATTTTTTTTTCTATTATAGATAGATAGCTGAAACTTTCACTGAATTTTATCCCAATCAAGGGACTACAATCCCTGAAAATTTCAGCTCATTTGCCCTTATAGTTCCTGAGATAAAATCGTGTTAGGCAATTTGGGGTGATTTATCAATTTTTCAATTTTTCTGAGTGCCTTTTTTCATAGATTTCGGCTTCAAATCTGAGAATAATTTAGTGTATGGAGGTTGGGGTATGATGATTGACCGTTAGAATACAAAATCTCGACAATAAAAATTTGAAATTTTATCGTTTTAGTAAGAAGGTACATACCTACCTTATGATTTAGATTCTGGAAAACTTTGAAAGGTCATATTTTTTTTTCTATTATAGATAGATAGCTGAAACTTTCACTGAATTTTATCCCAATCAAGGGACTACAATCCCTGAAAATTTCAGCTCATTTGCCCTTATAGTTCCTGAGATAAAATCGTGTTAGGCAATTTGGGGTGATTTATCAATTTTTCAATTTTTCTGAGTGCCTTTTTTCATAGATTTCGGCTTCAAATCTGAGAATAATTTAGTGTATGGAGGTTGGGGTATGATGATTGACCGTTAGAATACAAAATCTCGACAATAAAAATTTGAAATTTTATCGTTTTAGTAAGAAGGTACATACATACCTACCTTATGATTTAGATTCTGGAAAACTTTGAAAGGTCATATTTTTTTTTCTATTATAGATAGACAGCTGAAACTTTCACTGAATTTTATCCCAATCAAGGGACTACAATCCCTGAAAATTTCAGCTCATTTGCACTTATAGTTCCTGAGATAAAATCGTGTTAGGCAATTTGGGGTGATTTATCAATTTTTCAATTTTTCTGAGTGCCTTTTCTCATAGATTTCGGCTTCAAATCTGAGAATAATTTAGTGTATGGAGTTTGGGGTATGTTGATTGACCATTAGGATACAAAATCTCGACAATTTTTTTTTTTAAATTTCATCGTTTTAGTAAGATACCTACCTTATGATTTAGATTTTGGAAAACTTTGAAAGGTCATAACTTTTTTTCTATTATAGATAGATAGCTGAAACTTTCACTAATCCTAATCAAGGGACTACAATACCTGAAAATTTCAGCTCATTTGCACTTATAGTTCCTGAGATAAAATCGTGTTAAGCAATTTGGGGTGATTCATCGATTTTTCAATTTTTCTGAGTGCCTTTTTTCATAGACTTCGGCTTCAAATCTGAGAATATCTTAGTGTATGGAGTTTGGGGTATGTTGATTGACCATTAGGATATAAAATCTCGACAAAAAAAAATTTGAAATTTCATCGTTTTAGTAAGAAGAAAACCTTATGATTTAGATTTTGGAAAACTTTGAAAGGTCATAACTTTTTTTCTATTATAGATAGAAAGCTGAAATTTTCACTGAATTTTATTCCAATCAAGGGACTTTTCCAGGTTCTATTTTTGATAGAAAAAAAGTTATGGGTCTTCAAAGTTTTTAAAAATCCGAATCATAAGGTAATACTGTGCTCATAATAAAACCCTATCTAGTGTACCCTTCATTGCCTTCGTGCACCTACCAGGCAAAGGACAAAGAAAGCATGTAAAGAATAGAATTTTCGGGTTTAGATTTTAGTTGGATTTACATCAAAAACACTAACATTTTTGAAAAAAACCAGGGCTTTGCTAATTTACAAAATTATTTAGAATTTCACCAGCATAGAGACAAAACATTAGAGAACTGCAGTGATTTTCAATTTTTTCAAAATTCTTAAACATAACCCAGTTATGATTTTTTGAATTTGGATGATTTTTGACCGACTTTCAACATTTTGTTCAGGTGCAATTCGATTCAAGAAAAAAATCCTAAAGTCAGTGCAGTTAAGCATGGTTTTTTGTATAACATATTTTTTTTGAATAGTTTTGGACAACTGGTGTAGCCATAGTTAACCTATTTTCAGTGAAATAATCCCTTAACTATAAATCGTGCTGATGATTGTTTTGGCGCCGCCACTGTATAAAATTTGTGTTGTTTGTGTATTCGATAATCGTGCAGTGTTTACAGAATTCGCGTGCTAAACATCTGGAGTACCTTCCTCCGACCTCTGTGTACTCCAAGTTTTGTTTATTTCAATTTCAATTACAATGTTTACGAAACTTGATTTAGGAGTTTTCGTATATACTGTCAAACTGTCAATAATCGTCCTAGATTTTGTTTAAGAAGTTTATGATTTAGTCCACCCTAAATGGGTAAAGTAAAAAATCACTTATATATTCGACCTAAAGAGACCACCAAAATCAAGAAGAAAATCTATATTCTATTTTTCTTCTGCGACTTTAGCACACTTTTTGAAATTACTCTGTCATATTTGCAAAAATTACGTGGGCCTCATTTGCGTTTTTCTGCGGTAAAAACTATTGATGATACTGAATATCGCGAAACTGATGTAGCAACTTTACATTGAAATGGTTTAGGATTTAAAAAAACTAATAAAATTATAAACTGTAAGGCAAGGAGAAACAAATTAGGGAAGTAGATTAGGCAATCTAACACTTATACAGGCCTGTCTGGATGAATTCACTGAGACGGTCAGCCGTGATAGACACAATGATGTGAGAATCTTTCAAACTTTGACCTCAAATATCAAAACCACATTTTATTTATTTATAACCATAAAACATCTTCTCAATAAATGAAATATGAGAGATGTAAATCTTGCTACCGGTTACCAGTGTCAAGTGTGTGGGCATTCTGCGTGTCGAAGACTTCTTCGATCTTATTTACATGTCCTGGAAAATAATCTGGTTTGTCAATAATACGTAATTAAGAGAGAGAATTTGCACAGTGATTTTTCGAGAACGATAATTACTTTGGCTCAGAAATACATTGAAATAGAAACTTTTTGAGAATCAAAAGCCCAATTTGTGCACTTGGTATGGAGCAGCAAAGAAATAGGCACTAGCTGACGTCACATACATAACCTAACAAGCAAAGCGTTTAATGACTCCTTACAGCAGTGAAAACTGTGGCAATGCATTAAGTTTGTCCCTCTATCGAGTGATTTGTGACGTAATAGGTTTGTTTGGACTTAGTTCAGAATCAGTTGTGAATTAAACTGCGCTTGTGCATTGTTTATATGATATGAAAAAATGCGCAAACGCAGTTCGATTCGGAACTGATTCTGAACTAGGTCTGAACAAACCTTCCCTTTGAATATTCCTCAATATAATAGTTTATACACATCCACCAATTCTTCTTCAATTATCAACCAATTCTTCTTCAATTATCAACCAATCCAACTGATCGTTTCCTGATTATAAATAATTATCCGGCAAAAACTCCTCGTCTAAACTAGTTTTACGCCCGCGCTGATTTCAAACCTATAGGTTTGTTTTCTCACATACATATACTTTTGGTGGATATAGTAGTACCATTAGTGGTACCTAACGTACACCTCGTCGCAGCCTTGCGTCAGTTTTTAACGCGATGTGACCTTACTCCGAACTAATTGTTTTCACCAGGAAAAAAAAAAATTCCTGGTGGGTGGAAAATTGACTTGTGCATGTGTAGTTTTCAGGATGTGAATGTCGAAGAAAAAAAAATGCGTGTACGTTGGGAATCGATAATTTTTCAAAAACATTATTGTAGTTAGAATTTGCATTAGATAAACAATATTTTTTGCGTTTTTGGCATTGTTTAATTAAAATTACAGTCTGTTTACTAGAAAATCCGAATTGTTATGATAACATTAGGCCCGGCAAGTGGGCCAGTTGATACAATTTCGTAAACACCAGCCTCATCCGCAAGGTTATGTTTGTGTAATTTTTATGTAAGTTTTGGATTTGATCCCCCAACAATAAATCATATTTACGATATTCAACTAAAACAAACAAAATTTTTCAAAGGTGACGTTGGTCTCGTCTCCCGAGAGAGGAGCTTTCGCAATTCTGAGAAATTAAGGCATTTTTCCTGGCAGCTGTCCAGACGGCTTAAAAACCATGTTTGTGTGAATTAGTGAATTGCCTCGCCAGAGTACTGGCCAACGATCCAATTAATATATAGCCTGGGTGTTTTCTAATATCTATACGATTTAATTTAACGTTGAATCATTCATTCATTCATTGCAAATTGCAAATTTTTCTATATATACAAGTCGTTTGAAATTCGAAAATATCAGCTTTTCTTGGAAGTCAGATTCAAAAACATTTTAACACACCAATAAAAATCATTGTGTGGTTTGTCTCGAAAATTAATTAATGTTTTAGAAGACCATTCTGCGTTATTTACGCAATAATAAAATCAAAACGACTCTGTTTCGAAAACAACGCGGCATGCTTATTAGAATAGCGTGGGTAGATAGTTTTATACAAATTGCCACACATCTAAACCTATTGATCAAGATGACACTCCTATTAAAATAACAATAATTAAAATAAGCTATCAAGTCTATTTTTCAAGAGGACATTAACCCTCCAAATAAATAATAAGCGATGAGAGATCAAATTGGATTATTCTACTACAAACCAATAATTAAAAAGAACCGATTTAGATCATGGGTGCAAAAGTTAGATAAACAGTAGGTAATTGATTGATTCTAGTACTTATTTTAGTTATTTTTCTTTTTCCAGAATCCAGTCATCGCAGTGAGCCAGGTAGCGGCTTCTGGCAGCTCCAATTAGACCGGGATTTGGTCGATACCATTTCGGCCATCTACCCGGAGTGGTTCAAAGACAACATGACAGATAAGGGTGGTAATGGGGGTGCGGCGGCGATCGGTCGACACCAGTCGCCGTTTCGCGAATCGCCCCCCAAAGCTATCATCGATACGTCCCCAATTCATATGGATCAGAACAAAGAATGTAAGTGTCTTGATTTTTGAATTTTTCTTACATGTCTATTCCCATGGGGGAAGTTACCTCTTAAACTTGCTTGGGTTTGATTGAGTGTTAACAACATAGTTGGCAGGAACAAAATTCACAATAGGACAGGGTTCGCAAACAATTTTCTCTACTTTGATTTTTTGGATGGATTTTTGATGGATATTTCCTTGGGTATTGCTTCGGGTATTGCCTCGGGTATTGCCATCTAAATAAAATATTCTAAAAGTTCCCAAAAGTTCCGTATGATTTGGTTGGTAGAGTGTTCTAGAGCACTCCTGAGAATTTGGGAGTGTTCTGGTCCGTTCTAGAATGTTTCTGAAATTCTAATTTGATTTTAAGATGTTGTGTAGTGTTTTACAATGTTCTTGAAAGTTACACTTTGTCTCAAACGAATGCAGGAGGATTGAAAATTGAATTGATAGCAAAGATGCCAGGTCTGGTGATATTTCAGCAGATCTGGTGATATTATGAAAAATCTGGTGATTGGTGAGAAACTTTTTGAAAAATGGCAATTTCTGGTAATTTTGAAATTTCATCAATTTTGAATATTTTTAACAATGGCATACACTTTATAAACATCCCTCGTAATATAATAAAATTTTACTTCATTAACATACAAATTACATTTGTTTAACAGAAAACCAAATACCCATAAGTAGTGTGTAAGATCCTTTGATTTTTATGTAAATTTGTATTTGTTCTCTTGATATATCTATATATGTTTCCCTTTTTATATTTCAATTTCTGTTTATTCCAGGCTCTTGTTGTTATTGGCCGGTTATTTTTCAAGTTGGCAACATGTATTTTGTTTGGCCAGTGGCGTTGCTTATGGGGGGTTTCAGTCAAACCAATCGAAAACTCGAAATTTTTATTTTTCATATTTTCGAAATTTTGACTTTTCCAACTCATTCAGCGGATTTAAATTAATCGAAAAAAATTCTAACATCACTTTCAAAATGCTAAAAAATCTCAATTTTTGTTCAGGACATTTTTTCAAATCTTGACAAGGTTATAGGAATAATGGCCAATATCTTCAAAGAAATTTGAACAAATCAAAACAAATTATACAGGGTGTACCATTTAAAACGAAACAGGCTCAGTATCTGATGCCACGTTTATTTTCAAGAAAATCGCTCGTACACGTGATTTTATTTTCAAAGGGGGAAGTTTTCTGCAACCATTTTCAGCACTTCTACTTTAACCCTCAACGCGGGGTGAGACCAACCCTTACTATTTCTAATGGAACAAGGGGTCGAGTCATACCTCTTTTAAAAGAGTGTTCAATTCTCTTTCATTTGATGTCATTTGAAAGAAAATTAAACGCTTTTTTGAAACAGGTATCACTCGACCCCTGTTCCATTTGGAATGGTAAAGGTTGGTCCCACCCCCCCTAGAGGATCAAGTTAGTGCTGAAAATGTTTCAAACAGTCACACAATCAAATTACGTGTACGAGCGATTTAAAAAATAAATAAAAGTGACATTAGATATTTAGCCTGTTTCGTTTTAAATGGTATACACTGTATATGGTGGGAAAGAGCATTAAATTCTCTATAAATCCAATTTTGACTTTTCCAATCAATAGAGCGGGTCTAAATTAGTCGAAAAAAACTCTAACATCATTACAAAATCTTGATTTCAACACAGAGAAAAATTAAAAAGAAAATCTCCATTTTTAGGTTTAAATTCTTTTTGAATCCTGACAAGGTTAGGAGCAATGGGCTCTTTCACTAAAATTTGAATACGTAATTTAAGTATAAAATCCCAAAGGAGGGACTATTTTAGGCATATATACCAAAAAAAAATGTTCTACAAGGTTAAATAAGTTTTTTACAGGCATTTTAAACTACCAAAATTTGAATTATTTAAAAACGCGCCGATTTGCTGACGTCGCATAAATATTTTTCATTTCGCTTGTTGTTGCAAGAGCTGTTCGCCTCTGCTGTATTTACCCTGTAGTAAATGCAGGTAAAGGTTCGAATGCGCTGTTGTCGGTGGTGACTAAATGTAGTGCAACGTAAACTAAATAAATAAAACTAAACATAGAAAATTATATTAAATTGTGTTTAAGCATAATTTCAATAAAAATGTTATAAAATCTTGAATCCATAACTAATTAATTTAACTACTTTTCATGATATTTTGCGAACATTTCAGAATTAAATCTATTACAAATTTTCAATGTTGACAATTAGTGGCAACACGGTCAAATAGCGAGCTGCGACGTCATAGAAATAAATTCTGGGTTTTTATTTGGAGGTATTTCTTTTTTGTCTGTTTTCTTAAGAAGAACTATGAATTTTTCAAAAGTAAAAATACAGAAAATTCTGTTTTTAGTTGCTTTATCCAAATATGCCAATTTCAAAAATTAGTGAAAGAGCCCATTGCCAATACTTCTATTAAATTTTGAGCAAATCAAAATAAATTATGTATGGTTGGTAAGAGCATCAATTTCTCTATAAATTAGTGCTAGATTGAGTTTGATAACTCAAATACTTTTGGAGCAATTGAGCCTCAAAGTTGGATTTTAGTTGAAATTTAGTCAAAAACTTCAAACTCGATTTTCTCAAGAACCGTAAATGCCAACGACTTCAACCAAGTACCATTTTCAAGCCCTCATGAAGGGCTACTGCACAATCTGTGACGGGTTTCGAGAAAATTGAGTTTGAAAATTTTGAAATCAAAATCCAAAGGGGTTTAACCCTTTGAAAAAATCGAAATTTTTATTTTACAGATTTTTTGAATTTTGACTTTTCCAATTGATAGAGCGGATCCAAATTAATGGAAAAAAACTCTTACATCATTTCCAAACCTCGATTTCAAAAGGGAAAAAAATCAAAAAGAAAATATCAATTTTCAGATCAAATTTTTTTTTAAATCCTGATAAGGTATAAGGTTAGGAGCAATTGCCAATACTTCCATTAAATTTTGAGCAAATCAAAATAAATTATATATGGTTGGGAAGAGCATTAAATTCTCTATAAATCAGTGCTAGATTGAGTCTGATAACGCAAATACTTTTAGAGCAATTGAGCCTCAAAGTTGGATTTTAGTTAAAATTTAGTCAAAAATTTCAAACTCGATTTTCTCAAAAGCCGTAAATACCAACGACTTCAACTGAGTACCATTTTGAAACCCTTATTAGGAGCTACAATTTCAAAAAAAATTGATCCAAAATCTCTGACGGGTTCAGAGAAAAATAAATTTGAAAATTTTGAAATAAAAATTCCAAATCCCTTTGAAAAAAATTCAAAAACTCAAAATTTTCATTTTTCAGATTTTCGTAATTTTAACTTTTCCAATCGATAGAGCGGGTCTAAATTAGTCGAAAAAAAAATCTAACATTATTTCAAAATGACAATATTAAAGTAAGATTTTTTGGATCTTAATTTAAAAAAAAATCCTGACATGTTCATGAACAATTGCTCATATCTTCATTGAAATTTGAGCAAACTAAAACATATCGTGTATCATTGAAAAGAGCATTAAATTTTCTATAATTCTGTGCTAAATTGGATTTGGTAGCTCAAATACTTTTTAATCAATTGAGTCTCAAAGTTGAATTTTACTACAATCACTGATCAATAAATCCCATGTACCTATTCCCAAGAATTACAACTATAGTTACTTATGATTGTTAAATATTTTACCAGGTGATTTCCATTTTTTTTGGGGATTCCTATATCATTCTCAATTGATTACCTGATTTCCTCTAAGCAATCATTTGATTCTCAAAACAATATCCAATTGTTAAGCTTCTTAACCCGTCATTACACGCATCAAAAAACTTACGTCATTACACGCGTTCGGTCAAATCGACCGACTGCTCAAAAGTTTATATGAATTTTCAGCTTTGTTCGCGGAGACGATCCCAAACGTATCCTGAACGCTAAGGCATGACCTACGCAGGTTTATTAATCAATAGAGACATGAAACTCTCAAACATTACCTGCGTAAGTCATGCCTTAGAGTTCAGCAAACGTTTGGGAATGGGATCGTTTCCGCGAAAAAAGTGTACAAGCACTATAATTCCAGAATTCATAATCATTACAAAGGGAATTATATTATGCAGTACAGTTATCGTAATATTGACAGCTAAAGGTACTCCCAATATCAGAAAAGGCCAATTTTGAACACAAATATTTTGGATATTCAGGTTCACGCGACTATTAAAACAACAGGCGAATTGAAAAGTCACAAACTGACACACTCGGATATTTATTCTTTTGAATGTAACACTTGCAAAGCAAAATTTAAACGAAAACTCGACTTGAAGAATCACCAACTGATATACTCGGATATTTTTCCTTTTGAATGTGACACTTGCAAAGCAAAATTTAAACGAGAAGCCGAATTGAAGAATCACAAACTAACACATTTGGATATTTATTTGCGATTACTGCATAATGTAAGTAATATACTTTTGATTTTGGCAGTATAATGACATATGTTATTCCCCCAGGGAATAATGACGAGTAGCAGGATTAATGGTCATTATTGCTCGAAAGTGTCATTGTCAAACGTGTAGTGTTTGTGGATTTTTATTGAGATGGATGAAATTTGCTCCATTTGTTCATTAAAAATCTCAAATAAATTAATTTGTCGTAAATAAAGTAGAGTATACTACTCGCAATCAGTATTACTAGATTGGGGGATTTTCCCCCAAATTTGGGGGATTTTCAAGTAGATGGGGAAAAATCTGGGGGATAGTTTTTTTTGGGGGTAAGAATTTTCGCTATTGGGGGAAATCGGGTATTTTCCAATGAATAAAACTAAAGTAAAAAATGTATTAAAACAACTGCGCCATCTATTTTTTCAATCAAGTACCAATAAAAAAGATACAGTTTGCTTCTTCTCGGGATGAATGCAAACGCTCAGTTCTAGATCTATTTTAATTTGTAATGACAAATGACAATTGACTTGACAAATCGGATCTGGGGAATCCCCAACGACCGACGTTGCTTGCATTGTTTATTTTTAT